TACAGCCGGGCAAGCGGACATTCAAAGGAATGTGCTCTGCTTTTTCTGCCGCCAGTTGTTTGGAGATCCCGCTCCAGCAGATTCTCTTGAAGCACACACCCTCTTCTTTTTCTTGCCACATCCTATCTGTAATGTCAGCAGCGATGAGTGCGCGGCAAGCGGAAATTAGCAAACGATTTGAGCGCCCACAGACACAGTCAAAGGAGCGCCGCGGCGAGGAAAAAAAAACGGGATTGAATGAATGTAAGCGGGGGCGTATGCTTGTTATTTGATTTTCTGTTGATTTTCTCTCGCTGCCTGGCATATATTTTCTTTAATAATTTCCTGTTATAAACAAATCAAGGATGTAATAACGCAGTTCAATGCGTTAATGTTGCCGTCTGCTCAGCCCGCTTCCAGCTGCTTGAAAATAAATGCCACTGATTATGATCTTAAGAGCCATCAAAGACCGTAATGGCCGAAAAAAAGTGAACTTTTCAAACGATGTGGAGCCACACACACTCGCATAGTGCACAGCACATGGACACGGACTAGATACACACATAGACCCACATAAGCAAAGGAATCTACAAGGACTAAGCCCATTAGCCCACTGTTGTTGAACCTTTTTTCTACCCGGTAATGGAAGGGAAAAAGGGTATATTGCATTCCTGGAAAGCCGCGCCTGTAGCCAACAGGGCATACGTTTACGTTAAGGGGAAAAAACTATTTTATACACTATTTATAAAAAATAAAAGATCAAATACCCAATGGGGTATCCGTTATATATGAGTATCTTCTATGCTATCTGCTCCTATGTTTCTTCATTTAACCCCTTTACTGGGTATCGCTATGTCGGAATACCCGACCCGGCTCTTATTTCGTTTCGTTTGGGACTCTTTGGGACTTTGGCATTTCTTTGCCTTCTTTTGCTTGAAAATGCCACCAAAAAAATGTAAAATACTTTAGCTAACGTAAAGGGCTGCACACACACACACACACACACACACATAGTTACACACAGAACATAAGCATGCACATCTACGAAGGAAGGCAAATGTAAGTACAGAAGCAACAAGAACAACCAGACTGAAGGCAGAGCAAGTCAAGTGTATGAAATGTAACAAAGACCTAACGAGAATTACAGCCTCTCACACACACACACACACGCACCGACACACAACACACACAGCAATTCAGAGCTCATGCACATGTACGAAATAATGAGAAAATATCAAAAGTGCCCAGGCTCACGCACACTTTGGACTCGCCCGAGCTCAATGTCAACTTAAAGCTCTCTGGCAGTCGTGCCGCTGGCCAGGACATTAAGGATGAACATACGCATAGGAGGGGGACTAGAAGACTGCTAGAGGACCACCGTCGAAGGGTGACTGTGACAGGGTCGAGATGGTTTCTCTTTCTGCTCTCCTTGCCACTCTGCAGTTTTTCTCTTAATTTCCTTTAAAGTGCGCGGCAAAAACTGACGCTAATGAGCTACTTAAGCAATGACTTAAGTCGTTGTAGTGGAAAGGGCGGTCGGATGGCTGGGCGTGTGGCATATCATGACATTACATTACACATACGCACCGTTGTATATGCTACACTCTTTTGTGAGAAGCAATTTGAGCTGCCGACGAAACTGCCACAAGACCCTAATTGCCTTGACTATGCCACAAAATCCCACCTCCTTCATGGCATCGCCCCGGAGAATCTTTGGTTTTGTTTTAACTACTTTGATTTGGGCAAAACTTTCGGATTTGATGAAAGTTATTCGGGGCAAAGGCCGATTGTTGCTCCATTGTGAGGTCTGCCTTTTGTCCGCCTTCCGGAAAATGGCATATAATATTCGATTAATATTTCAATAAAGTGTTTGCCCCTTTACGGATTATAATAATAAGGTCCATTGTGGCCGTGCTTGTCCGACCGACCCTTTGGCGCCGACCACAAAAGACCACATTGCGGCACAATGGGACGTGCCGAACAGCTTGAGTTTTGTTTGCATTGTGAGCCAATGGAATCAGGGCATTGAATAATGTAGTTACCAGGAATTAGATGAGTCCGGCTCCACTCTAAAGCAGTCTTTTTATATATATGAGGAGTACTGGTACCCAAAATGGGGCATTTCTCTGTGCCAAATTGCACTCATTTCGGAGCCGGACGAACAATGGGGGCTGATTTACATGATGCCCGGGGGCCTCACCGCAGGCTTTATTAGGAGTCCAAAAATAACACGCACTCGCAGTGGCGTGGCATTCGTGCTACAGCCACCGCCCCCACACATAATTAGAGACACCTCATTAGGCCGCGCATTAATCAGGGAGCGAAAACTTTCACTGCTTTCCCTGCGGGCGGCAGCTGATGTCAATTAAATGCGCCTGTCAAAATATTTGCACACACACATAGCACATACCAACATATGGAAAGCCACCCCTTCGTTTTTCCACTTTCCTCTTCATCCCCGAAACTAGTTCAACGGCTAGACAACGTCGAGGGGCTCTCCCTCTCCTTTCTCTTGGTTGAGCAAAATCAGCGTCATCGCTCTCTAAAATGTTCTTTTATTAATTAAATCGAGCAGGCAAGTGTCAAATCAGCGGCTGTGCACCACTACCGCCCACAGTCGCCTGCCTCTTCACATGACACCAGAAACTTTTTTATACCCTCACATACCCACTGTAATGATGGTCTTCAATGATGTTTGCAGACCATAGAAGCAGTATGTTTCCTATCCTTCCATCGAGCAACAAGCTGTACTGTTGGCATTGAGATAAATCCAATCATAAATAAACATCCACAGCATCGTTCAATTTGAAAGAGTATCTAATGCTTCGACCTTTCTGGCAGTTTTCCCCTACTATTTGCTGGTGTGCGGCTTGTATTGCGGTTCAATGTGCCGCCGCGCGACGTCGACGGCGACGACGACGACGACGACCTACAACAATTTTGTACATGTCAACATGGTGTCATAATTAAAATGTTCACCAGGCCATGCCACTCTCCTCCCGGACGAACGCCCCTGTCCCCGACCCCGACCCCGACCCCACCCCTGATAGGCTATTCGATTCGGCTGTAAATTGGAGGTTTTTGGTAGCAGCCGTGAACAAGGGCAATGCCGACAGGCATTTCCTTTCCCGAAATCCCCGTTTGCTTTTCTGTTGGCTGGGAGACATTTTTAATGATTGGTCGAGCGACGGGGCCAAGAGAGATATCCGTATCCGTGTCGATATGGCTAGTTAGCTGATTGGTTTTGGCGGTTTGTTCGGTTGTCCCGACATCTGTTGGGTGAAGGGCCGTCCAGCTAATTGCTCCTCTGCCGCTAAATGAGATAAATGATTGGAATGGGGGTTCGAGGTGCCAGGTAATCAATCCCTTTGGGCGCTGGTCAAACACAGACTAATTTCAGTTTATATGCAAAGTTGGCCATCGACATTATAAATTGTCATTCGGATGGTTGTTTGGCTTTGCCCAAAAATTGTCCAAAAACACGGCTGTTCATTACGCCTCGAGGCTGCCAACAAGCTGGGCTCCATCTCACTCCCGCAATGGAACTTTATCCGGGCCACTTAGGCTTGATTAATGTGCCGGCATTTGCGGGCCGGCTGGGATGCCCAGAGACCAGGCCATAGTCCAGTCCTGTCCCATATCTGGCCGTAAATAAAAACATTCAACATTCTCCCCCGTCCGCTCCCGCAGCTCGGCATTTTATTGTCTCAAGGTTAATTTGAATGGCAAACTTTACGTAAGCATTCTTCTATATAAAGATACTTTATTTTTTGCTTCTCCACTCTATTATTATTTTTGGTTCTCTACAGATACTTTTCTGCTTTATTCACTGTCCAATGACAGTGTAACAGCAGCAACAACCAACAAAAAAATTAATCAAAATTTCTGGAGACAGGCGAGATTCGGATACAGATACGGATACTCCGGGGGGGAATGCCCCGGGACATTTGCATTTTCCATTTTGCTGGTCAGCTCTCCTTCTCTCTGTCTCTACGCATTTATCATGATTGCAATAAATAATATTGTGGTTTAACCAACCACTGACCAGGGGACGGGGTGAAATATTTTATTTTATTTCTACGTACTTTTTTGTGCTACGAAAGTTGCCGTTTAAACTCTTAAAGCTGGTTGAATTTCGCTGTCAAAAGTGGTCTGGCTGTAAACTGAATTTCTCGGGGCGGGGACGGAGGGTCAGTCACTCTGATTGAATGTTTGCCTGTCTCCTGCCTGACTGACTGACTGACTGCATCGATTCGTTTGAAGGACGTTTTCAATTTGTGGCACAATTTAAAGAATTTTCCAAAAAACAGAGCACCGCCAAAATGGCTCCAAGCTGAATGCTGGCAAGACAGGCGTGCGGCAGTTTGTGGCAGCTACTGATGTGATGTGGATGTGGATGTGGATGTTGTGTGCCCCTTGCCAAGGAATTTCTCTTGTGAATTTGCCAGCTAGTTTGTTACTCTTTTGCCCCTGCCACAAGCCCATGCATGTATCTTTTTGTCTCGTGGTCTGTGTTTCGTGGTGGCCTACCCACAATCCCCCATATTCAAATTCAAATTCAACAACTGGCAGACCCGCATGATAATGCGCATATTTCTATGGATTATGGCCTACTTTTTGGGGTAGGCTTGGGCTTGGAGCTAGCTCTCACTCCATTAGGGTAGCAGGGGAAACGTTGGGGGCGCAGAATTAGACACACTTGGAATTTACCCGCCACTCATATGCATAAATATCTCAGCCTTTATTCTCTGCGTGACTTTCGCCAACGACCCAAGCCCGGCACCGAACGATCTGACAATTGTTCGAAATTTGCATAGAAAGAGGCCGCAATTTCTGTGCTTTGCATATTTCTATCCGCCGTTCAGCTACATTTGAGCTATGCGTTTATCCCCCTACGCTTTATTGTTTGCAAATACAAGTGTTCATTCCCCACCTCCCAGTACCAGTACCAGTGCCAGCGCCAGTGCCAGTCAATTGCCATCAATTGGCCTCAATATCCCATAGAATATGACTTCACTTACCTCGCACTTGGGCAGCGGTCCCTCGGGCATCTTTACCTTCCACCCCAGCAGCGGGGGGATGCAGATGAGTGCCGACATAATCCACACCGCCGTAATCATGACAGCGGCACGGGCCGGCGTCCGCGACTTCAGATAGTCGACGGCCTTGGTGATGCTCCAGTAGCGATCCAGCGAGATGAGGCAGAGGTTCATGATCGAGGCGGTGCAGAGCAGGACGTCCATGGCCGAGTGAATGTCGCACCACCAGCTTCCGAAGATCCAGTAGCCCATCAGCTCGTTTGCCAGCGAGAAGGGCATTATGATGAGGCCCAGAAAGAAGTCGGCCACGGCCAGCGAGGCGATGAACCAGTTCTGGATGTTCTTCAGCGACTTCTCCGTCGCAATGGCGATGATTACCAGCATGTTGCCCACCACGATGATGATCATCAGGATGGTCACAATGATCGAGGCAATCACTATGTGGGTGAGCGTGTACCCGCTCGGATAGCGTCCGTCCCAGTGCACTTCCGTGATATTGCTGCCGTTACCCATGAGTCCATATCCCCCACTCAGGTTTCCCGCTCCGCCGCTCTGGTTGTAGTAGCTCCCCGCCAGCTGTAGGGTGCTATTGTAGAAACTCCCATTCAGCAGATATATCGTGTCGTTCACATTGATATAGCCTGCTCCCGACCCCGTTGGGGACTGGTCGAGAAGGCCCGGCACCGTCAGCTGGCCGTCGACGGTTAGGAGCGGGGGATTGAGGGTGGCACTCTCCGGGTATCGCGTGCCATTGGGCGGCCCGCCAGTGGCGGCTGTGGAGCTGGTCGTGAACACGGCCAGAAAGTCGTCGGTGCTGATGTTGCCCGTGTTGATGTTGGCATTCAGCCTGCTGTAGTCCATGGTGCTGCTTCGCTCTTCTGTGCGATCTTCTCTAACTTTGTAGTGTGTAGCTGGCTAACTCTAGGTGTGTGTACGGCTAGCTCTATAGTCTGATTGGTCCCATGCTGCCGTCCATCCGGCTCGTATTTATAATTAAATTTGCTTACGCGCGAAATTCCAATTCAAGTGGTTTCTCGTATGCGGTGATCGGCTGCTCTCTTGTTCCGCCGCTACAACACCCAATTAACCCTAATAATTTATTTAACTCCTAGCATAGCTCTAGCATTAGCAATATTTCGATTATTTCGATTTTTAATACCCGTTTTTGCACCGAAACTCGTGTGTGGCGCGTTTTCCGCTCATTTGTGAGGGATCTATGAGACGGTAGAACGCGCCCTGTTCTTTTGGTTTTGTTTTTGGTTTAAGTTGTGGTTTTTCCTTTAATCAATTATAGTCTACAGCACATATACAGTATATACAGTTACACAGATACGGGTACGGATACGATTACGGTTACGGTTACGGACACAGACACACATGACAGAGACGAGTAGAAAAAGCTGGCTATGTACAAAAAGGGGGCATCCTCGCTGGAGTTCTTCTGCCTCTGCCTGGACGCGATCCCATCGATCCAATTGATTGGCTCCTCTGCCCTTCTTCGCTCTCTTCACATTGCGCAGGCTGCCGCCGAGGCATCCGTCAGACACTAGCTCCGGCTCGAGTTCACCTCAGGGCAATACTTGAAATTTAATAATTTAGGGCCGAATGTTTTTGGCGCACTCACTGCAACCAGGCGGTAAATCGCTTCGAAAGTCGAAATAAATAGTGCGGATCGCCGATGATGGACGATCCGTTGGGGTCTGTTTTTCTTTCACTCGATTTGCCTGATTTTTCTCGCTTTTTCAGTTTATTTACACACAGCGCGCGACCCGCGAATTTCACTCTCTATCAGGCGTTTTCCCGCTCGATGCTGGCGCTATGGCTATGGAGAACAGTTGCCGTGTGGCGGCTGCTTGGACTTGGCTCTTGGCTTTCTCGGCTACTTGGCCAATTGGCGCGCCCGGGACACGTTCGCACCGCTGGAACTGCACATCCTAACTGAACGCCATCCGCTGGCGCTGCCACTGACGGACTTGCTACCAAAACATGGCATCCACACACGCCGCATGGGGCATGGGGCGACGGGCTGCCTTCGGTCGTTCGTTGCGTGTCGTCGTGCGCATCGTTCCGAGGGAAATTCTCTCTCACTTTAGCTGTGTCTCTAAAGCCCCATTGTGGGGACAGTTGCCGTATAAGTATTTCCCATTTCGGGATTCTCATTTATGCATTGCTTTCGATTGTTTACGTTTCCATATTTGTGATTGTTGCACTCTGAATCGTTGTCCGTAGATCGCACTTGTGGGGCAAATTGTTTGGTATCTTTAATAAACAAAAGGTGTACCAATATTTGGTTTAATAATCGAAAATCGCAAATCCCACAGTAATCATAATAATCTCATCTCATAAACAGACTACGCCATAACAAGATTTCATCGCAATTTTCAATGAATGAAGAAAAATATACAACATAATAATTTATATAACAAATATATACCCAATAAATATAATAAATCTGCAACTGAAGTTTGATTTGGTTTCCGAACCCAATCGAAAGGGGAGTCCTCCGTGGGGAAGAAAGTACTATTAGGTAAAACATTTATTATAAGATTTGATGATTATTAATAACTAAAGAGGGATAATAATAACTAAAGCAAAATAGTACTTAATGTGCATTACTGCAATGGCAGGGCAGTAATCCCCGTACTTGAGGGCTCTTAAATTTCAATTAAACAATTCAATTTGGATATCGCTTTCCACATTCGTTCTCCCGCTTGCCGTTCGTTCCCAAAAGTGTACACCAGGTTCCACAAGTTCACGCGGCAAACGGGAAATTTTGCGCCTCTCTCAGCGAGGGACTTTTTCTCTGTTCCATTTGCCGCACGTTTCGCCGCACAGTGTTGCGCTCTGTTGTGCTTTGTTTGCCTTTGTCCCAGTGCCCTAAACCAAAAACCAAAACTTATTTTTGTGGCAGCACTTTTCACTTTTTTTATTTCGGATGGCCGGGAGGGGGTGGCGCAGGGCTCTCCTCCTGGTGCCCGTTTCATATGTTTGTTGAGGACTGCTGCTGGCCAAGGAACTGCGCTGCGACCATGTGTGCGATGCTACCTTTTGTGTACATTTTCGTTTTAACCCACATACGGGCCTTTGTTTCCACGGTAAATGTTGGTCATGCTCGCCTTTAAATACTTCTCACGCCTGTTAAGGCCCCGGACCCGGACCCGGCCCGGCCCGGCCCGGCCCGGCCCAATAAAAGCGTAATGAAGCTATCCATCCGCGAGAGGCGTGCGGGCGCATTGAAAACGAAAAGGAAGGCATCTTCGGCAAGGAGTTTGCTCCTCATCTCAGATGGGAAACACAAAAGCCAACATATCGGGCACATTGTACGCGATAGTCACGTCTGTTGGGCACATAATTGAAAAACGAACTTGAGCGTATCAATCGTACAGGTTGCTATTGCCGTTGCTTCTGTTGTTGTTGCTGTTGCCGTTGTTTCTGCTGATGGAGCAATGAAATCAGCTAGAAATTATGATAATGAAAAAGCGAAGTGGAAGTGGAAGGCAGCTCTCACCTTCCTTGCTTTTTTTTATGAACTGACATGTTGTTCATCAAGTGTGGAGACGGGGCGTATGAGTTATTTGATTATGTTAAGCATACGTCTTGGCGCTGCCGCGCATAATTTCAAATTACACGCAGCACACATCAGTTCAGCCTTCGCGAGAGCATCAACATAATAAATTCGAAAAGGCCGTCGCCTGACAAACAAGCCAAGACCGACCCCGAAACCGTCATACGGATACTCACACATGCACACACATACGCCTGCACAGTGGAGTGACAAATGCCGGAAACAACAAGCGACAGCAGTAGAAACAGCGGCAACAGCAACGGCAACAGCAACAAAAACAGCGGGCACTCATCGTCAATGCATGGCAGAAGATTGCTTGTCAGGCTCTGATTATATTAACTGCCTACGAAGGTGTGTGCCAGATTGCGATTGCGACCAGGTATGCATGGACTGCCAGAGATGAGAAGATAAGACCTGCGATTCCGAGAATGGGAAAGATACAACCCAGTTCTGGACTGTCAAATCTTATGAACGGACAGGGGCACTTTCATACAGGTTTTTGACAGGTTTCGCCGAGTAGCGTTCTGCGAAGACAATAAATGAAGACAAGTCTGAATGTGTTCTTAAACCAGCATAGAAGCGACTCAATAATGCTTACCGGAACGTAAGTTTCTGATCAATTAAGTCTTAAGTACTTAAAAGACAATCTATGGGGTTTGAGGTTTCCTCAGTTATAGCCGTGCTATGGGATGCCAGGCGGTTGGGGCCTGATGGATGACTCTCCTCCTGACTTCCTGGCTTTTCCACTGTTCATTTTTCCAATAGAAACTACTCGTATATTGAAAATAAAATGCAGCAAGTAACAATTTCCCCGGAGTAATCGAATCACAAGCGATTCCCCTCCTCGGGTCCCAGCCCGGGTCCGCTTACTCTTCCCGCTGCTTGGATTTTCCTCTCCATTTCGGTTGCCAAGGCAGTCACAGATAAGACGCAAATCTCGAATGCGCATACATTAAATTATATGCACATACATCACGAAGCGAGTGTATAGACTGTTGCATGCAGCACCAAGCACGCACTCTGTCAGCCCTGCTAATGGGTGCCGCAACTCTGAATGGAACGGAATTGCATTCCGTCTTTTGTTGCAAGCCATGCTAAATCTACTTTTAATTCGCCGCACGTTTTCCATAATGAAATCGGATTTGTGGGCGCACGCGAATAGCGAGTGCTGAATGGGAATGGGGTGTGGCTGTCTTTGGGTGAAAAATAATGTAAAGAACAGAGGTCCTGGCGTTGCATATCCAGGACCCATAAATCGAGCACTCAGCACTCTCTCCAGCAAAAAGTACAAGTACCGAAATGGGCCATGGCCGAAACCAGAAAGGTCCAAAAAAATGTTTTTTTTCCTGCTGCAGGACTGATAATGCCCCGTAATTCAGAAAGGTTCCTAAATGCAACGCGCTAATGGCAGAAAATATATTATGTGCGCTTATCATTCGCATTAGCTGGCAAAATTGTTGCTAAAAGAGGGATTGTAAATGGTAAATGGCAGAAGCTTCTGGCAGCGAGGCAGGAAATTGTGCCACTCATACGCACCGTGGCCCAGCCTCGTCTGCTGCATTATCTTAATTTAAAAACTCGCTGGCATCATCTCCGTGGAGAGCAGCAACAGTGTACATAGTACAGTGTACAGGCAAGCAGGGGCAGGCAGCTCGATGGCCGTGTTTTAGTTTCATTAGCCCGGCTGAAAGCCCATTTATCAAGCTGTCAGCGCCAATTATTTATACCCCACTCGGAGCTGCCGGCAAGAGCAGTGAATATTATTGAAATTTTATCAACAATAGCGGACAACAGCGCAGAAATTAGTGTGCTTGATCAATCCGCATTTCGCGTTAAATGAAATGGCAATCGGCCGGCGTTAAATAGGCTACAAAATTAAATTAATTGCGAGCCCTTGCAGCCGGGCGACCACTCTCGCCTTTATTGCCAAACAATTTAAAGTTTTAACCTCCTGAAACATTTCGTCGAATGGCCTGGCTGCTGGGTCCAGCAATTAACCAACAAGAGCGGGGTAACATGTGCCGACAATGCCTCCCGAACAGAGTAGTCCCTTGCCCTATCCGACATGGCCTACCATGTTATATGCGCCTCAGTTCGTCCAACACATTGAAACATGGGGCCCAGGAAGTGCATAGTGGAGAGGGGGCCTGGTTAAGATGGGGTCGCCTCGGAATGGGACACAAATCTTTCACGTTTGGGGGCACACGGCAAGGCCGACGTTTCTTAGGTTTATTAAAGGCAAGTTGATATTAAATTTATGTGTCTAATTACTTGCATTTTTTGTGTGTCGTTCTCTTGGCCAACTCTTGACATCATTTATTATTTTTATGTACACAGAAAACGTTTTATTGACACGACAACCGATTGGCTCCGCGCCCTCGTCTGGCTCCGAATTTCAGTTTGAGTTTGAGCCCTCGAGTCAATAAGCCAGCGACAACTCAAAAGACCTGGCAAAAAGGAAAGCGCTGTCATTAATCTTTTGCCAGC